CGAGTACGTGATTTGTAAGGCATTTTGTTACGTCTTGCTGAATGCTTTGTCCAGTAGGTGATCCACTTGGATCCATGAGCCCCAGGTAGGCCGAGTCGAGACAATTTGGAGTTAAAGAGCAAAACTTGTAGGGACTGTCCGGAGGCAATCGACTGGTCAGTAGGCGGTATCGATGGAAGGCATCGTCGACATCCTTGTTCAGAGAGGAGTCCCAGGGCATAAATTCCGAGCTGTTTCCCACTGCTCTTACGGCAAAAGTTTTTCCAGCGTTCAGATCCATTTCAGATAACACCCATCGATGTAGTACCCCAGTGTCCTTCATCCATTGAACTGTCGATTTGCATGTCATTTGGGACAATGCATCGTGCATGAAGACCTACGTTCCTTCGTGTGGTGTCCCCCGCATACACTCAGCCGACGCGGCGACAATATCCTCGATCAACTTGGTCACGCAGACGTGGGGCCTCTACAGGGTACAATGCTCCATATGGCTTTCCCAGTCGTCGCCATACATCGATTTGTAAGGGTTGTCAGATTTCCGGTCGTCAATGACGACGTCAGCGGGATTCGGGCCCTTCGATCCCAGTGACAATGAGTGGATGTAGTAAGCCTTTTTCTTCGTATTTCCATGGGAATTCCTACAATTGGTTGTCAACTCATCCAGATCAGAGAGTCGCAATTCACCAATTGCAGAAAATCCCGTCGAAGCCAGTTTCGCTGCGGTGGTTTTGCCCACATTTGGTAGGATTGACAAAATGTCCTCGTGGAAAAATTCTACAAATTAAATATATATCAATTTATCATATAAAGTGTAAATTATATACTAGTTATTATCGCACCCGATGATTTTGAAGGTCGTTGAACAACCCACGGATGCACCTCCCCCCTCAGGTTTTGTACGCGTGATATCTCGTCGTTTTGTACAGCACTGTACTCATGAATGCTTAGGATCCATTTCCCGGAGTAGATGAACGGATGGTAACGGCGGCCCCCTTGACCGTCAGGTGTAGAAACGATTCCTCACCCAAGCGAAAAGTGCGCCTGGCGAGGATACTTCATCTTCAGGTACGTTCCAGGTGGGGCATACTGGCCGTTCACACAGTCGATGTGGCCATCTTCGTCCCTTGGAAACCGAACTTGTCGTTTACTTCCACTTGACCCCAACTGACCCACTTTGACTTCTTTATGGGTTTCATCCCACACTATGACTTTACATGTTAGTCAAGCTCAACGCTGACAAGTGCGCTATATCTATGGACTTCGGGGTACCGGCTATAACACCCTTCTTGGTATTTGTCAACGGTTCGCCCACCGTTACGGCTTTGCTCAACACGTCCGGTGCTACTCCAAGCTCAAGCGTGCGGACCTCGAGCACACGAAGACAACACTTGCCGTGGCGTTCTGGAACAATCACGGAGACACACAAAAAACGATGGAGAGGAGAAGCCTAGCGGCTTCACAGACCCTGGCGGGTCATTAGCGAAGTTCTAAGACTTCGTCTTCTCCTTCAAGTTACTGTTTTTTGAGACTGTGCATGGCAAGCCAAAAATCAGGTGTGCACAGATGAGATCACGCTACCACACGTTAGAACCCATGAAACTTCGTAAAACCGTACTGTGCACACTGTGAACACCAACTTTTCAAATTCGTTCGCAACATACTACTCAACCATATCACTGTTATAGAAAAGTCAATTAATACTATTCTCATTCTTCTAGCTTTACACACCTTACTCATCTTACTCTTTAAGAATATATCTTTTACCTGTTCACATCTGTTCACGCTAGAGAATAGACTACTACAAAGACTACTAGAAGGCCGCTACATATCAAATCAGCTGTGAACAGGTCTGTGCACAGGTAAAATGTCGACCTCGCACGTGTGCACACAATAATGGCCCATCATTTCAGTCACCACTACGAGGCCCACTACATATGTCACGCTACCAGGTTCTTGCTGTGCACAGTCTGGATCGTGGGTTTTGGGTCTCAATTTGCGTGTAATATTCGAGTGTTCACTCGTTCACTCGTGCACAAAAAAGCTCATTCTGAATCAGCTTATGTAGTGTTTATAAATACAATACAGCTCATCAAACGATCAAACAAAGATGCGATATCAATCACTCGTTCATTCTACGAAAGTCTCATCGCCAAAATTGCTGAGAAACAGCAAGATGAAGAAGAATTCAAGAACGTTAGTGAAGCTCTTGAAAATATCAGAGATCCTGATGAGCCTATTGAAGAAGGCGATGAAGATGTTGAATTGAACATCTAAGTCTTCAACTTTTTTTATACGCCATTAGTATACCAATAATGGATCAATAAAGCAATCTCAACGCTTTAAACGAGTGAAAATCATCTTTGTAATGATCGATGAAGCTTACTGGAGATTGAATAAAGATAGAATAAACGCTATTGCACTAGCAAAACAGATGAACTTTGCGAAACTTTATGAGCGAGATAAAATACGAGCCATGCGCGTGCCTCCGAAGGGATCAAAGTAGAAACCTCTATGAATGCATGTCCAGTGACCCACTCCATTATCAACTCTCAAGAGGATGATATACGTACCACCATTCTTCATTGTATCGATTTCATCAGTGCTAATAATTCCGTCCAAATGCACATCTAGAAATTCTGCGAGTTTGATCAATTCGTGGTCTGATGAAACTCCCTTGACAAAGTTTCAGACCGTCGGTCTCCGGAATTCTCCGATTTCATTCATAATTAATAAATTTTTCAAAAACTCTTTACGACCGAGTATATAAAGCGAGCGAAACA